TGGAGAACATAGAGACCATTCTCAAGTTCTCTATATGCGATGAATTTGTTATTTCTTTTAATAGTAATCATTTGACCAAAAAGAATAGAATATCCATCCGCACACAATTTTGGAACAGAAATAAAATTTCTTCTCAAATTTTGTACATAAAGACAATCTTTCAGTATAATTATTAATTCTCTGAAAATTAACTCTACGGTTCCTATAGCCGTAGTTGCAATACTTGCAGAAGTCCCCAAGTAAAGAGTTACTTCTCTGTCACTCAGTTCTACTTATCCTGAACCCCTGCAGTGAGTTACACGCATGAGTTGATGCCTCGGAGTCAATACACCGGGAAGCAGAAGTTACCAACAAATTGGTTTCTATGACACAGGATTGGAAATTACCTTTCTTGGATTCCAAGTACTGAGGACAGTTCCTCTTCCAATGGCCGATCTATTTGCAGAAGTGACAAGCATCTGATGCTCTGTCCTTCTTCTGCTTCTTGGACTTGGTGGCTTTCTTCTGGGGCTTCTTCTTTTTCTTGCCCGACTTGCTAGCTTCAACAAGCATAGCAATAGGCTCATCCTTCTTAATCAGTTCCTCGGCCCTCTGCAACATATTGTTGAGTTCTTGAACGCTGACATTCAGCTTATTCATGTTGTAATTCATGATGAACAGATTGAAGGAAGGAGGCAATGAATTCAGGATGACATCTATCTGAGTCGCATGATCCAGTCCGGATCAAGGAGCCTCAAGCTCATTGATATAGCCCATCATCCGAAGACAATGGTCATGAACTTGCTGGCCCTTGGATATTTGTGCGGTCATGAACTATTTCAAGACCTTTTGCTGAGTAGGACGATTGTACTCTTCGTACATTGTCTTTAAACTATCCAATATGTCATTGGCAAGTTCGATCTGATCAAACTGCCTCTGTATCGGATTGTCCAGGGAGGCAATGATATAGCATCAGGCCAGGGAGTTTTTCTCCTCCCAATCCTGATAGTCCCTCCTACGGGCCTCAGAAGCCCTATAACCTGGACGCTCCGGGGCAGGGTTTTTAGCCACCTTGTCCAATTTCTCATAAGTTAGGACCAGCATAAGGTTACGGTACCAGTCAGCATAGTTTGGGCCCTTAAGTTTGTTGTCATCCAATAGCTTTGCAAATTGTTCGTTTGCCATTTCTGATAAAAAGCAAGCATCAGTCCACAACCTAATTTGATTCATGTTATCTACATAGATATGGCTTTTTATTTATATTCCATTTCCATTTGTTCATCTCCAAGATTTCCCTCCTATCTTAGTGACGGAGACAACGACATATGTCTCTGGAAATATGGAAAATCACATAGGGTGCATGGAGCCAACTGTTTCAGCTACATAACCCCACCACCTTTCTGTGAAGGATCATATCCACTCATCATATGAGATTTCCCTTTGGCCTCTGTCAGACAAGGTTCATTGCCATTTTAGGTTAAACCTTTCTGTCCAGTGAGTGCTCACCCATCATATTCGTGAACGCCAAGGTACCGTGAGAGAGTCTTCCATTTTCTGGTAAGCCCCTCCCACATCGGTCTATGACGCCCCTATCATCTTATGAAATATTCTGACAAATCCAATAGCAAATGGATAACCCAATTTTAGTGTTTCCTCATTACTAAAGGACCTATCTTCATGCTAATGATGGAAGGCCTTTAGAGAGTTCATCATATGAATCTCCCTATCACATGCACTCATATTTCATGAGGGAACAAAAGTTACGTCATAGTTTGATTTAGGTCAAACCAAAGTGGCTCCCACTGACTTTCATAAAGCCAGATTTAGGTGGGCCCTAAACGGCTAGGGTTCCGTACGAATCCTTTTAGGGGAGGTGTGGAGCCCACCACGAAGGGAGATCATCCAATGATCTTTAGGGACACCATGGCAATGATGTGCATTCAACCATGGTTTGCGCAAGAGCCACTATCGTATCTGCATGAGCCAAGTGTTTATGGCCCATGAATGTTGCACATCACACATCCATACATCACATGCAAGGATATTATCTGTAAAGCCCATTATTAAAGCCCAATTTAATCTATAATATTACTGATTAATATTATCTAGGTATATGGGTTGAATAGGCTTAAGCAGTTCAGCCCATATAGTTTTTCTGCAATTTGTGGGCTTTAGCAGTTTTAACTCCTTAAAACTAGGCCTTACAGGTGTGGGCCGAATTAAATCTCATAATTAACCATCAATCCCTTGACCCAAAAGTGGGAAATTAGGGCTGACATCAGCCTCCATCGAACCACAGATTCGGTCCAACTAGTTTGGACCAATCTAGTTCGAATGGGTCTAGGGTTTGATTTTCAATTAAAGAATTAATTCAAGAAAATGATCTAAAATTAAATTTACTGATTAAAGAATAAACAAGAATCAGTAATAGGATTGTTCACACATCTCAAACTTGCAAAACAATCGTTAGATCACTGGTTACAGTTTCATAAACTACAAATCACAGATAGCGATTTCTCCATCTGTGAAATCTCCTTCTCCAGTGCATCCAAGTTCGATCTTGGAAAAAAATAAATAGAAAATAAAACCTAGTTTTTTCTATTAATATTACATCAGATCGAATACCTATTCATTCAGTCTAAAATTAAAAATATAATATAATTACAAACCAAAATGTAAAAATCTGCAAATCGCAGATATCCTGTGCCAATAAAGATTTCGATCTCCTTTGTACGAACAACCCATAAATCAAGAAAATCATAAAGAACAATTCTAAATATATTCCAGATTTATAATAATTAATTTCAGATCATTCGCCCTGTAACTGGGAACTGATTTCCCAGAAAAACCCTAATCTGTGCAAATCGGGTAGAACACCTCCTGCCCATTTGCGCAGGTTCAAATCTAGTCTACTTCGGTTCAAGATTTGAACCTGGCTCTGATACCACTGAAAGGATGAGAGATCCATCATATGGATGGCCGAACCCTACAGGTAGGTTGGACGAAATTTCAAAAATTTCTCTCTCCCATCTAGGAATCACAATCCCTGTTTTAGAAAATTTGCATTTTCAAGGATCAATCTTGAACCTAAACCGAACGAGATCTGAAACCAAAATGTAGGAGAGGGATATACTTGATACAGAGTAGCAGTAACTCCCAATGAAGATGTTCACGCCCAAAGAAATCTCCAAAGACTGCTCCCACTGAAGATGACACAGTGTAGGGTGGAGTAGAATCAATAGTGTTCTTCCTAAGAACCGAACCTTTCAGCAAGAATTCGATGGAGGCTGTGAGCACGACTTCATATCAGCCTTTCTCTAAAGATTGATATCAAGAACTATTCTTGATCGCTCCTACAAGAATGGAGATCGAACTAGCAATTGGCGGCAACTGGAGGAGAACGCAGGGAGAAGATTGCGCAGTCACACTATTGCTGTTTTCTCTCTGTGTGATCTAAGATCTGATGTCTGGGGCTTTTTGAGATGTGAGATGTACTGAATGGTTCACCCCCTCCTCCTTTTATAGACTTAAAGAGATCAGCTCTTAATCCCCTTAGGAGTTTCCTTATTCAAATCCTTATTTGAATCTGGACTCTCTTTAAGTGATAAGGATAGATCATTATCTTATCTACAGTTAGATCAGCTCTCCTAATCTCATTAAGAGGTTTCCAGATCCAAATCTCTATTTGGATCTAGACTCTTTGAGTGGATAGGGATAATTCCCTATCCTATCTACTGATCCAAATCCTAGATCCGCTCTTATTTAACTAATCATATTAGACCAGTTCGAAATGAGTTTTAGGCCCAATAGGTCTATGTGCTCAATAACCCTCCAAACTGCTGTCCAATTGAATTTCTTTATACGGCGTAGAACCCAAACATTGGTTCTAAAAACAGTCGTACAAAAAGGATGATCACAGGATGAAGGAATTCTCGTCATCAACGATTGTATATACAACTCTTGTCTTGTATTCTTTCTTTGGTTGCCCTAAGCGCAGATAGAGGAGAGAGATGAGGATTCAGTGGTTAATTGTTGTTCACTTCCACTCACTTTATTACCATTTTGCCGGAAACAAATTAAAAAGTTAATCGTTCGTCTCCTTCATAAAATATACCAAGCAAAAATTCAGGAATTTCCTGTCCCTGCATGTCGGGTTGGATTCGAGCTCTATGACGACTGTCACTGAAACCCCATTAGAGTCTCCATCGACGAAAACCAAAAGAAATAAATGATTCATTCACTCTTTCATTCAAAATCCAGCACACCACCCATGCATATATGTACCACTAGCTAGATTTTTTTTAGGGATAAGTGGACTGCAATCCACCTCACTGGTAACGAGTTAGTAAAATACTAAAATTAACCTTTTTTTTTTTCTTTGTGTCTGATGGTGACGGTGGTGAATGTGAGGGGAAAAGAAAAGTGCAGGCAAGGTGAAGGCGAATCTGGTGATCTGAAAGTATATTTGGACGAAAGCGAAGGGTGAGGAGTGAGGAGGAATGGTTATCCGCTATTAACAGGGAATATCTCTCTATCTTAGTTAGATTGGACCAGATGGAGACTCATTTCATAATTCATTGATCGTCACTCGTCACTCGTCTCAGTCAGGATGTCAGATGCTAACACACACACACACACTCTGCTACTGCTAGTAAGTAGTAATTCTTGCTTGATATTCCGATCCAAAGAGAATCCCCATAAATAGAGACGGTTGAATTAGAATCTTGTTGTCGTTTCTTTCTACGATGTAAAATGTTTGTCATCGATCGTACCCTCTTAAAAATTTAAAATTGAATTGAAGCCCCATTTTTATAAAAGTCTTCGAAATTCCAAAACCAAGAGAGGACAACACGAGACACTCCCCTACCCCTAGGCCCTAGAGAAGAGAAAACGATGAACAGAAAGGACCCCACAAGCGGACAAAACTTCCTACCAAACTATATTATTTCTTTTGTTCTCTTCCTTCCTCTCTCTCTCTCTAGCTGCAGCCTGCAGCCCTCGTAATATGACAATATAAACGTCTTTCAATTTCTATTTACTGCTGCTTCCTTGCATATATCCAGACCCTCAACCATCGTCTTCCTGTGCTGATTCTCTCTCTCTCTCTCCTGAGAGTAACGAGAGATTTCTTCTACTGTTTGGGATTGCTTGTTGAAATGTCCTTTGAATATCTCTTGTATCTTTATTGAAGCAGGCAAAGTTTGATTGCAGAGTAACGACTGGTTATTATTGGAATATCTCTTGAATCTTTCTTGCCTATCTCTAAACCGATAATCCTTACTGGAGTAAAAGGAAAAGGAAAGCTTTTTTCTTTCTTTTTTTTCTTCCCGAGAAAAGCGCCTTCTTCTTATGGTGGAATCTCGGAAGAAAAAGGATTTCTGGGAGAGTACATTCTACAGCATCAGCGCGCATTGCATCTCCCTCCGAGTTCCGAAACCCGAATGATTTTTCTTCTTTACTGTTTCCTCTCTTTGAATTTCTACATTAAATGAACTGCTGAGGTGGTCCGCGTTCTTCTCTGGCTTCGGTTGCAATACCCAGGGCAATAGGGGGAGAAGTCTGGATTATTGGATGTTCGAGGATCTAATGGAGAAGTTCATAAGGCATTGACGTACGTCTCTCTGTTTCGACGTATATATTTATTGTATTCTTTTCTCCCGACGACGATAAGAGAAAGTCTTCACATTTTAGACACCCACTGGCATTATATACAAATAAAATGGACTTCTCGTTATTATTCGGATTCACGTATCTCATCGCTTTATCCTTTCTGTTTTCTATATCCCTTTCTGCAATCCCGTCGGAATCTCAAAGCGGTCCCCAGCAGCCCATCAAACCGGGTGATTTCTCTGATACAAACACCGTTCCCGCCTTTCCCGTCCAAACGCAAGCACAAACATGCCATCTCGACCTCTCCGAAGAACTTTTCGGCGGCGTCAGTGAGGCATGCGGGCGCAACCTCGACCGTAGCCGCTGCTGTCCAGTGCTCGCCGCCTGGCTCTTCGCTGCGCATGCTAAGTCAGCACTGCAGGTACCATCAGCTGTGCCCACATCGTCAGACGGTCCGGTGGTACCGGATGACTCCCAGAAGTGCGTCAACTCACTTCAGAGCTCGCTGCAGAGTCGCCACATAAACATTCCACAGCCTAACTCCACATGCGATGCCATTCTCTGTTTCTGTGGCATTCGGCTCCATCAGATTACCTCGCTGAGTTGCCCCGCCGCATTCAACCTTACCTCCCACCGGAACGCAACTCCGACAGCTGCCGTCAAGAATTTAGAACGGAATTGCCGGAATTCGTCCTACTCCGGCTGCACCAAGTGTCTCGGCGCCCTCGAAAAGGTTAGTTTTTTTTTACTATTTCTTATCGTTTATTTCTTCCCGTTGGCGCTTTCTTTCTTCATAGTTCCCAATCATCTGCCATTACTTAAACGGCAACCGAATTGTCAACAAAAATGTGTTGCTCTGTCATCTCTTCCTTATATTTCCTATTGCTAACGTGAGCCATACCAAAAATAACCGTGCAATTAAGCAGTTTCCGTTTAAAGCAAATCAAGTTCTAACGATAATAATTCTCTTGCATGTTTATTTTGTGTGTTTGTGACGTGCTTACAGCTAAAGGGAGATTGGAAGAACGGGACTGGAGAAGAAAACGACGAACGAGCGAGCAAGATGTTCGGTAGGGATTGCCAGCTAATGGGGTTGACGTGGCTGCTGGCCAGGAACAAAAAGGCGTATATCCCGACGGTGTCAGCGGTTCTGCGTGCGATGATGTACAGTGCGCACCCGCCGCACCAGTCGAAGTGCAGTCCCGATCAGGAGAATATGCCATTGGCTGTTGATTCCCTCCAGTTCGGGAGGCAGGACTCGTCTCAGGCAACGGTTGTTCTTCCGGTAGATCAGTCGCTGCTTCTGCTTGTCTTGGCCTTGGGAGTCGCTGTGTTCGTCTTCGTCGTCTAAAGTCTAAGAATCAGCGTCTTTTGCTTTTTTTTTTTCGCTGGATATTCTGTCGGTCACGTGATGCTATATGACAACGGGGCCCCTTCTTTTCGTCTCTTTCAGCCCACTGTACAATATACATCACATACACGCAGCTCACTTTCAGACTTATTTTTGACATCTAGGTGTTTGTGTACATGTGTGACCGTGTGGAGTTGTCCTCTGTTACAGGGTTGTCAGTTTTTTTCTATATTTTATCTTCCTTTTTGCTTTTCTTTTCTTACCGTGTTGACACTAAATGAGGAAAACAGAGTGGTTGCTGGTTACGTTACAAACTACAATTACATTACCTTTTGGCTTTTGCACAGTGCGTGCATTGTTTGCTGTAATATATATGGTTTCGTTCATGTTAGGCCAACAGAAACTTTTTACAGAGTTGCACAGCTGCTGTGCTTCAATTCTTGTTTCTCTGGGTTTGATTGTTTCGACTCTGAAGTCAATGAGATTACAGTAGATGATAATTATTTATAAGAAAAAATGTGGTAAAAGGTTGTTCGAATGAAATACAAAGGTGTCCTCCTCCAGACTCCAGACTCCAGACTCCAGCCTCTCTGCTTGCCTTGCCTGATTCACCAGACACGAGGTGGAATCTGCTTGCCTTGCCCGAGTATGGTGCTGTTGTCAGGGGTTCAACCACTTAGGGCTCGAGGGATGTGTTAATTAACATAATTTTTCGTTTGAACGTTGAAGAATGCCGAGGTGGAGGAACTCCCGAGAGCAAAAAGGATGTTGGTTGGTCATCGTAAGAACAAAAAATAAAAAAAAAGTTAAAACTAACCCATTAAATAAATAAATAAACATGTTTGGGGAGAGAAATCCGGTTGAATGTTTTGCCGATCGATATGTTTTACTTTCTGCTTGGGTGGCCGTGCACCACAACTGGAACAGAGCCATGTATGCATTCCTGTAATTTCCCAGTTTTGTTAAATGTTTAATGATAATGATTTTTTCTTGACATTATTACCTTTGTTATATTTATCTATTCAAATTCTAACCACTAACTTTTTTATCTCCCCAAATTACCGATAACCCTAGGGTTAAATTTTGTAGGCTTAAAAGTACATTTGGCGTAGTGGAATTGATCCGAATTCATGGGTGGGTATGTATGTATGTATAAAGTGTGGTTTTTGGACGTCCTGAATATTTAAAATTTTGCAGTGGGAATAAAAAATCTACATTAGGTTTATCCGTATTTTTTCCCTAAACTAAAGCCAATCCTCCATTTTTGAACTACTACCAAAACTGTCTTTCTCATCTTTTTTCCACTTCATAGCCTCCAAAATTCATGTGAAAATAGCAAAAATAATAGAAAACCATTAAAGCAAGCTATAAACTCTATCCAAGCAATCCTAAAGCATCTTACTTTTAAACCTAACCCATCCAATGAAGAGAAAGGCATTGGATGGACTGTGGATGGCTAATTTGGAGAGAATAGCATGGAAAATAGCACCTTTAAGCCTAACCATCCAGCGATTCCAGCGAGGATCAAGGCACTGAAGCTCCATCACTCTCTATTTTGCTATTTGTCTTTTGTTTCTTTCCATCAATATATATTCCGCTTTAATCAAACAAAGGCTATATTGATGAAGGTCAGCTAGTATCCCTCCTCGCGTTCATTCTCTTATTTTCGTTGTTAACTTCTCTAGCTAATTCGTTTCGAGGAGAAAGTGAAAATCCAAAGTCAGGAGTGAGGAGCTAAATGAGTCATTAATTGAACTACTTTTTTGGAATGTTTGTGATGAATCTTTGCTTTTGCATAATATTTCTCCGTTCCTTTGATTTTTTTTTTTTTTTCCTAATGCCCTATATATCTAAGTGTATTTCTATCTCCCATTTGTTTGGCCACTAAAAAAATATGAACACAAGTTGTAAGGGGTCGACCGTAGATGTTTTCCGTTCTTTTATGATGCAACCATTACCAACCTTTAAAAGTGTGGTAGGGATGCATTTCATAATCGATCATTTCCACCATGAATCAGGAACACAATACCCCGTAATAGTGTTCATAAGGGGCATTGCATTGACAGTTTGACGCCCCTCAAAATGAATAAACGTAAAAAATGGTGATTCAGCAATCATTTTCCCTTGCATTAATTTTTAGGTTAAACGTTGCGCCATCTTTTTCTGCATGAATTGACATTACTAATTCCTAGTGATTTCAGAGTTCTGCATAAATGCTGATGTGGCAAGTTGGTGCTGTAAATGCATCTTTGTCGTCAAAGATCCTTCTCTCGTTTTGTAGTCTTAAGACACAGCTGGGTTGTTGGTATTTGAGCTGCGATTTGGGTGGGCTTAGATTTTCAGTCACTATATGGAAAACTCAACTTTGACCTAAACGTTGGTTGGCCTTGGATAACATTCCAAATGTCAGTAATGGCTATCATATGCTTTGTATACACATATAAGATAAGGTGGAATAATATATGCATCAAATAAATTTGTACAAATCCCATAAATATAATATATCAGGCTCAGTTTGGAAAGTGTATAAATGTAAATATGTACAACATAAATACATACAAAATATAAGGTTTTGCACCCTTCCAAACTCAACCTCAATGACACTCACTGCTGTTATTAAATGAATGTTTTGTACAATATCTTCCTTGTAAAAGGAAAAAAATATAGTTGAAAAAACATTTTTTAGCGTTTTTTTTTTTTGATAGCTAAGCATCATTTGACACTGTTAAGCGCTATTAGGCGCCACATAAACTGAATAGTCAAAAAATGCCCAAAGGAAAAACATTGAAAAGACATCAATAACTTTTCGCACAATTCAAGAAAAACATTTATTTGATAAACAGTTTAATTAAACAATATTTCAAATTCCATTTGATAAAATGCCTATATGGTGCTGAACTGATGTCATTTTTCATATAAAAATCAATGGAACCAAACACCGTTTACGAGGAGAAGAAAGCTCAATTGACTTTTCTCCCCTCTGCCTAGTGAATTGTTCTCAGGTCGTTTTCTCCCATGTCCCCTGTGGGCTGAATCTCCTAGCTCACAATTTTGCATTTTCCCTGACCCAGGGGTGTGGGTCTCCCTCCGCGGATCATCTGGGTGAATTTTATCCTTAATTATCAAAAAAAAGAAGACACATTTTGATGAGGGCAGTCTCATCAGGCTTTCTTGAGAAGACCAAGGTCTAGTTTCGATTGGCAAAAGCGGTTAAACCTCCGGGTGAATTTATTATGACTAAAGGTTGGTTGATTCTTCATTTTCTTCAAGAATCTTCGGTAGCTTATATATTGATGAACAAGATTTTGCTGGACTCTCCTTGCAACTGAGGCAGCAACATCGTTGGGAATGTATTTCACCTAGTTGTATTGAAAACCTTACTGTTTTTTTATCATTTGTACCACCGAAATATTTGATAAATGACTTTTGGCTTTAGAGCATGGTTTTCAAAACTAAACTGGACCGGAAAAAACCGGGAACTGGTCACCTGACCGGTTTTGTTTTCCCCCAAAACCATTGATTTTGATCAGCAAACCGCTGAATCAGCTAGTTAACCATTTGAATCGTTCGAACCGTTTGAACGATTTTGACCATTTTCCAATTTTTTTAATTTTTTTATCAGAACGGACCGACCGTTCGAACCGATAACCGGACCCCTGACTGGTTCAGTCACCGGTTTTTTTTAAAAACCATGCTTTAGAGCTTTCTTTTCCAAAAAGAATAAACATATAAAAATCACATACTTGTTTATATAAAAAAAGATACACCACAATTAACATTAGAGGACATTTTTTTGAAGTCATTTGACAACATGTAGATATTACATAATAACATCACTAATATGCGTTAACTAATGTCTCAGATCCCAATTTACCTTCTACCAAAAAAAAAAAATCTAATTTACCAAAACAAAAAACACCAAGTACAAGATACGCTTAATCTTTATAAGCAAGTTAATGGCTATATAGTTTTTTACAAAATACTATATGTATTAAACAATGCTTATAAATGAATAATTAGAGAAATATATAGTTAATTTAAAAAATAAATAGATCCATGAGAATGTAGAAATATAAGTCCATGAGAGTGTGTAAAAATGCATAATTCTAAGACACAAATCATATGCAATTCATAAATTTTAATAAGTAACTATTCTCTTTTTATTATTTTTATTTCTATAAATTATCAAAAATTAAGAAAAAAAGCATACCTTTGACATAAATTGTAGATGGATCCAAGGATCTTATAGACCATTCATAATTCCATCCTTAAACTTATTTCATACCATATAAAAAATAACTATTTTTTATAATTTCTGTTTCTCCAATTTTGGGGAAAATCCATGGATCTATAACACAAGCTAAAACATCATAAATCTAACAGCTTGCATTTCACAGTCTACTAAAATGTGAAGGATTGAATGATAAAAAAAAAGCAAAGAAGAGATCTTTTTTCTTTCGATTTAATGAGTGTTATTCCTTTTTGATGCATGATTTCAATTTTTTAAGGTAGAAACTCTCTGACAAGTTTCTAGGATGAAAATGCAAGGTTTAATGGTGAAAAAAATGGATTTAAAAATTAAACAAGAAAACCCATCGTACCATCCTGCAATTGCTATTGCTTTGTATTTATATGCATCAGTAGATAAGAAATACACGTTATGTAACATGATAAGGGCAATACAATTTGGTATGGGTGGAATGATCTGGAAACATTCATACTCCACCTGTGTCATGTGTCAAGTGTCATTCAACGTTGAAGTTGATATTGGACATTTCATATCAATATTTTGTCCATACATACATAGTTATCTATGTATGGACATTGTGTATTTAAAGTAATATATATGTATAAAGAGCTATTAGGGACCATTACTTGGTGTAATATGGTAAAATCTTGGGCTGGCAAGCATGAGAACACAAGTCCGAGTCTGTGGGCAGTCACTTTGTGAAAAAAAACCCACAAATTAGGGCCATACTTAATCTTCCCCTCCCAAGAGCCCACATAGTTGAGACCAATATTGGGTAATGGCCTTTTTATATGTAAAGAGCCATTATGAGGGGTGGATTGTATAGAGTTAGAGACCTAACTTTTGGCATTTTAGCACCAAGTGGCTGCTCTCAGACTCAAACCCATATTCTCATTCTTGTTAGCCTAAGGTTTTACCATTGTGCCCATCAAGGAATGGCTCCCTAAATTGTACATACGTATATATTCTATATATTTCTACTATTAGCCATTAGGTACACTCCAGAGTATTTACAATGTATATGGCTAAACCAGGTCTACTCTTGTGGACAAACATGTATCCGTAACTTACATTCAGCTTATTTAACAAGTGCTCCAAGTTGCACACTTGGAATTGCAATTTTTGCGAGACCCACCAACCTACCAAAACATGCAATGGCTTGAGTCAATGAAGTCTTACCATTTGCAACCTGATTCATAACCATTTAGTTTTGCTGAGCAGTTTCCTATTCTTGATTCGAATTTCCAGGCTTCCAGCCCAGCCTTTTCCCACCCCCTAATACCATAGTCAGTCTTATATTCCGGTCTGTGATAGAAGGGAGGAAGAAATAAAAGCAAAAAAAAAAAAAAGGTAAAACATAATAAAATAAAGGCTTGCAATAGAAATGCAGAAAGACTCTTTAACAAATAGTGTGTTTAAACAGGAGGTTGGGGGTCCGCCCAACCTAGGCAGTATGGCTGGGCTGATGTTTTGTGGTCCATGCATATCAAAACGATTGCGATTCAAAAGGAAATATATAAGGCGGGGTATCAGGCTGATTGGCCAGGAGAATTAAATGTATCACCATCTCGAAGGATCAAATCCAATATATAGATTAGCCTTTTTTTTTCTTTTTTGATGGATAACAAATCCAATATATAGTTTAGATCAGCCACATTATCCATCTAAGTGCTACAAATGGAATAAATAACTCCAATAGGGAGAATTCATATCCATGCATCTACCTTCTTTTGTTAATATAGACCAGGGATTGATGAAAAATTATCAAAGAAAAAATTAATATTTGTGGATTGTGTGGTCTAGGCAACCAGTCACCGGGCTTGCTGGCGCTATGGTCCGCCCCAGTTCAGTACTTGGGTTGGGTGGGCCTGTATGTCAGGCACAATGACCGGATCAGCCTGGCCGGTACAACTTACCATGTCAAGCAAATACCCACCCTAGAGCTGAAGACTGACCAGTGATGTGGAAATATGTGCCTATTGCCTAGAATACATACCATTCCACTGCCTAGATTATGAACACATACCTACCACTTTTCTAATATAAGTCCCCGTTTGATTTGTAGGAATTGGGTCTAGAATTGGAATCAAAATGGGCTATTCCAATTCCAAGTTTCCAACTGTTTGATTGAACAGAATCGGAATCCCATTCCCATTCTTGCTGGAATGACATTCTCCCATTTGAGAGAATGGTCATTCCCTGTCCCTCCCTTGGGAATAAAATCTCATTCCTGTTGATTCCAATTCCCATTCCCATTCCTGTTTGAACTAAAGAGACTATGGGAATAGACCATTCCAATTCCAATTCCAATTCAGGAGAATTTTGGGTCTGTTTAGTTCATTGTTGGAATCGGAATCAGAATCGGAATCGGAATCAGAATGGTCTATTCCCATAGTCTGTTTGGTTCAGACAAGAATGGGAATGAGAATTGTAACAAGCAGGAATGGAATTTCACTCCCAAGGGAAAGGTAGGGAATGGCCATTCCAGAAGGAATGGAAATGGGACTCCGATTCCACCCAACCAAACAGTTGGAATTGGAATAGCCCATTCCAATTCTGATTCCAGACCCCTATTCCCACAAACCAAACGGACCCTTTGATTCTGATTCCGATTTCGATTCCAACTGCAAACCAAACGGGCCCCAAATCTCTTGCATGATTTCCCCTATAAAAGCCATGCTGTGTGCCATGCGCCCATTCCTTGATGCATATAACATCATATATACCTCAATGATAGCCCAGTTCTTTTTCTAGAGAGAATAATTCAAAGCATTCCTTTATAAATGTTATCTCAATTTTTTCGCTAGTCACTTCTACCTGACATACAAATAACACTCGACTTGTCTTTATCGGTATGTTGCATGCATTTTGATCAGATTCCCCCTTAGTGAAGCCATGTCCCATATATGTGGTGGGCAAAACCAGTCCTGTTCTGTCATTCTTTCTGTGATGAACTGATCCAAAATTTTATTTTTCTTTTTTCTTTAAGTTTCAGTCGATGCCCAACTTACCACAACGATTATTTAAACATGACACATCTGCCTAATTCTCATTATAAGTGACCCTGAAAACTGATAGTATAGTATCATACAATGCAGTACAACAAATATCAAGTTTGAACAATGGATACAACATTGATCCTTTGTCCACACCTAATTACTCTTGCAAACCATCATGAACCTTACAAAAACACTAGAAAAACCTTGTATTCTTGTAAGCTGGACAAAACAGTTATTGTACAAAAAGGAATTATGCTTTAAACAAACTGAACTGAGGCACATAAGCCCATTGAATGCTAGAAAATCAAGTATTTCACAAGATTTAATAATTGTAACATTGGCAGTGGACTTCCATGGCATTCCAATGATTTACAGATGAGAAGATTCAATTATAGATATTTGATTGTGTTATTCCATGTCAGCCAACAAGCTGATAATTACAGAACGGATATATATACAGAAAATGACAAGTAATACTGACCTAAACCTACCTATGCTGCACAGGGTTATTGGCTTTTCATTGTCTTTATCAATGCCAAAAAAAAGAAAGCAAAACAAGTATAAAGAAAAGGAGTTGATGAAAAAGTGGAAGCTACATTATTCACAAACTGAAGCAAAATTTTTTGCATGTGAAACATGCAATAGGAGCAAAACTGAAAACTCCGAGTCATAAGAATATTTCAAGTGAAATGAAGTAAATACCAATGAGTTACACTTACATCCAAAGATTCATACTTCATGCTTCTTCGAGCTTGGAACTGCACCTGGAATAAATTGCAGAATTGGTAAAATCCATGGAACAAAAATTATAATACGTATAGTTGATAGATTGATTTCTGTCAAGTACTATTTTTAAGAACCGAGCAGCAAAAAATGACTAGGAGTGTTTTCCAATAAATGTTGCATAAGAAAGATAAGAAAATTAGAATATTCTTTTAATGTTATATTTTCTGTCTTCTGGAAGTTGAACATGAGCAATATCTTAGTAAATAATTATATTAAATGTTCTAGTACTTTTTTCCCTTCACGTCCTCAATGTAAATTAGTGCTAAAATATGAACTGGTATAAATTCATGATCTATAGAGCTTAACCAGAAACTTTTAATGCAAATTACATAACTGGAAACATGTCAAAAGAATGGTGTTAAAAGTGAAATCATCCTTATTATATGATTTATTCACAGAATTCAGGTCAGAAAAATGAATCCTATTCCAGCATTTTGCTCTAAAACCACCTTTTCAGTTATAATGGCCTCTAAAACCATCCTTATGAGCAATTCAGCAGCACATTTTTCGTCCTAAGTAGGTGGCAGTATGCTCTGATTTTCCCAAAAAAGGAACATAAGAAAAAAGAAAGAAAATCATCATTACAAGGACCAATAAAGAAAGGTGCTCTCTTGTCTAATGCTCAGTGGGCCAAATCTCTTCTTATTATAAGTTGCTCCATAAAGGAGATGATATATATATGGGGTTGTAAACATGTAAAATGATATACTAAGTTGATGTGCATCATATATTATGGTAAAAAAAAGATATGATAGCCATATAAAGTTTTACTAGGAACTATATGGGAAAAAAATTTAAGTCAAAGATAAGTAAACATGTCTCCATTGAAGAGGTAAATTGCTTGCAGCTTGCCCTTTGGCCAGGGTGCTGAAAGGAATAACTCCACTAACGGCAACTTGCTGTGGTTTCAGGCATATAGATCCACCTGATGCACTTCTGGCAACTTTAATCTTGAGACTACATTATTTATTGAAAATACTAGCATCTGTAGTGTATACATTTCCATCTTCCAAAGTACCACTGTAACCTCTGTAAAATGCTTTTCATGAAAAATTCAAAGTATTGCTGCAAAAATATCTAGCATGAATGCATATCCACAGTCATCTTTTCTTGATTCTTGATACCCAGTAGTATCTTCGTGACTAGAAGGATTTGATGCCATAAAACTTGTCTAAGAGTACATAAATGCATATTGTACCATTGGGCTAGACCAGGCCACCACAATGTGGCTTTCACAGAGTTCAATGTGAATCATATGCTCTAAAATATATGCTTTTGTCAATTATATGGCAAATTATGACTAAATTCAAGCCAATTTTCCAGAAATCAAGGATAGCATTCCCATAGATACTACCTTGACATTTAATTTAGACCCACAAAGACATAACTCAACTTTATTTATTTATTCATTATTTTCATTTCAAGAAAACCACTTACGTTGCACTTGATGTCAGCTCACGGATCTCCTTAATTGCTTCATTAATACCATAAAGACTCATTCTCTTCACCTGTTTTGACAAAATGTAATAAGTAGCAGGAAAAGAGGAAAATATATAGAAACTGATGGTTAGAAGAGATATACCTCTAGCTTGTCTTCCTTAGCTTTATGGTTTTTAGGAAGCAGTCGAAGTTCGTCAATTACTTGGATGCACTCATGGACGTTTTCTGGTGACACAAAGTCCAATGCCACATTTATACAAGACTGCATACCACAAGGCACCAGAAGTTTAAGATTCTCCATTTAATCTCAAGAAGTTACAATTGTGAAGAAATAGTCTAGGCATTGGACTTTGAAGAAACTTCAAAGTCATCCTGATGAGATTTTAGGAAATAATGACTTGTGCTTTCATTTAATACATGGATGTATACAAGATCATTTAAACTCAACCAATTAGGTATTGCCTATAACATCTGTGGTACATAGATGCGTATAAGACGATGCTGACAGGATCACAGATTACATGTTAATGCAAATGCATGCCTATGCAAGACCATACAAGCATACAGGTAGCAAACAACTTGTGATTTTATTTAATATTTGGAAGCATAGTTATAACTCAATGGTTCCAACAGAAGAACTTGCAAAGGATATGCTCTCCAAAAGAATGGTGGAGATGCAATATATAGAATTTATATATCATGTGATCAAAAGCAATGGTAGTGAGTTCAATCCAACAAAACTTGTGATGTGGAAAATGAGTTGCAAATTGGCTTGCCAAGTTACCTTAAGATTTCTAATTTGATATGGACACCCAGCAGGAACAATAACAGCTTCTCCAAGGTGTTGATTGAAAGTCCACGGTTCAATTTCTAGAAATAGTGAATGTTTGTCAGGATTAGCAAAATCTATTTCCAATTATGGAATAAATAGGAAAAAAATAAAACAAGGCAGAAACTAGTGCTCACTAAACTCCTCCTTAAGCCTTAGCTTGTGTTTTGTATCAAGAAAGAAAATCTGATCAAGAATTGGATGAGCAACCTGTAGCAAAGACATTCCATACATCAGCCTTGAAGCTGCTTCATTTTAGAAGTTAACTGCTTATTTAAAACTTCTTTTCTTACATGTTCAACTGGAGAGCAATATGTGTGCCTGAACTCAGCGAAGTGTCTTCTAAGGTATTCTTGCAACTTTGGAGCATCTTCTCTACGAAAAACATCCCATTGGGCACCACATGAACTAGGTACTATGGGTTCTTCCTCATTCTTCTTCTGACACAGTGTATCTCCAACTTCAGATGTTTTGGAGCAATGGGCTGTACAACAATAACCGTTTGTGGCTTTAGAATCAGAGTCATACTCCCCAGCATCTAGCAACTTTTCATCTTTGACACTGGTATAACATTCTTCAGGTACTTTCAGGTCAGGAGGGGAAGTAGAGACTCTAGCAGCTTCTTTGGATGACTTTTTCCATCCTCTTGTAGCATCCATTGACTCACTAGTTCCTAGTTTTTCCTTGTTTGATAAAGATGTCTTCTGCTTTAATTCATTTACCATTTTTTTATCTATAGCAGTCTTGAGAGACTCCCTTCTGTCTTGAGCTTTGTGCTTGTTCTTCAGTTTCTTTATCTTAGCAAGTTGGTCTATGGAAAGTGGCACCTCTGAAGTATGTGTAAGAACATTCACCTGAAAAAACAAGAATAGATATCTGAATAGAAACAAGGATGCAAAAGACACATTAAAAAGGAGAATAACCGCTCTAAAATTCCAACAAATAATAAACATTATCACCGAGACCACCCTATGCCTTTGGCAGCAGGTGCTAAGTTGGAAAGCTCTTCTGTTTAGTCCTTTTATTATTGTTTTCTTCTTAACCTTTGTGAGCCTCACTAAGATCAAAGTACATTGGAACCTAGTGATTGAAATATTGGACAGTACAGGTTTGGCAATTTTGTTTTTTTTTTGGAAATCTCATTTTCACCTCGTTAAACCACAAGGTCAACACTTAAGGCATCTAGCAGTATAAGAAGTGAAAATGTCAAGAATGTCAAGTTCTGCCAGGAAAATGTAATGCCTCTCATAGTGGTACAATCAAGGTTTTTAATTTCTTTAAAGTATTCAAAATTTCAGGAACTTATGATGCATCAATGTTTTAAAAGCACAAGGCACTTTCCATGTTTGAGGCATAAGGTGCAAGGTAATGCAATGCACACACCTTTTTGAATCAAGATGCAAAACGTTTAGAAAATTCAAAATAATATTAATTAAAAAATGAAAACTTAAAGTTTAAAAGAAACCAAGTATTTTAAAAAACCTATTGGCTTTAATTATAATACATAAACATAATATATTAAACATATTAAAAGTGAAAATGTAGAAATCAAATCAAACATAACATATAAAAATGTTCAAGCACTCAACAATTCAAGCATGTGAAGCTTTGATCTGTTTATTTCTCTCCCAATTGCATTATTCAGGTAGTTAATGTGATTATATACATCTTGTATTCCTATTTCTACAAGGTCGTTGTTCACCTCTATACCAAGCCCCTCTGATCAAGCCCAGACAAGTTCAAGTGACAGTCCTAAAATATAAAAACAGATTAGTTTTGTGATTTTAGTTGCACTTCATTATATTTTAGGGTTAGGAATCAAATGGTTTGATGAAAAATTTTTTATTATTAGGGATGAGAGAACAACACTAACAAAAAGGGGGTTTCTATTGGAGGCACAAGATTGGGAAGAGGTGCATGCCTGGGCTCAGGCACAAGACACACAAGGCACTCCAGGTGCACAGCTAAGTGCACCGTACACCAAGTAACAATCCTTGAAATGCAGCTCACTTGTGCACCCAGGCGCAGTTGAGGCACACCTTTCAAATCACTTACTAAGTTTCACCTGACACTTAGTAATTCAGACTATGTTTGAAGGAAATTTGTACAAGGGTCATTACTCAATGTTGGTCCTACAACTTTGGAGTCTTGAGAGGGGTGGATTGGATATGAATATAACCTTTGGCATTTTTGGACAGAGTGGCCACACTTAGTTGAATCTGCATTGTCACACTTTTCAGCTTGGGATTTTATCATTGCCCCAAGATCACACACACACACACACACACACGTGATCACATCCTGCTATCCTGCTTTTGTTGAGAAAAAAAAAACAAGAAAAAAAAGGTATCACCCTTGCCAAAATATACAAGGAGCTTCTATTAGAACAATTCCAAACAAATTATGCATATGGATGCCTACCCAAAGGAGCAACTTTTATCTTTTGAATAGGGGGTGTTCCCCATCTATCCAAGGAAAGATTTTCCCAAATGGCCATTCTTTATTTATAATAAGTAAATCTTCTAAAGAAGCATAAGAAAATAAGAATTTAACAATAGAATGTGATCAACTTCAGATCTGTATATGTTTCAGTTTCAGAATAACAGAAGGAAAGAGAGAAAGAGGAGAAGAGAAGAAGAGGTAGAAGGAAAGACTGGTTCAAACTACAGAACACAATGTCTATTGTGTCGGCCAGATTTATTTATAGTTTTCTAAACAGAAGCACAGTGACTATTGTGCCCCCACTTAAGTGTGGGACACATCACTTAACTTAGAATATAATAGTAACTACATCTAACATATAACATAAAGTAAAATGACTAGACTACCCTTCTATAGCCGACTCTAACAGAATGCAATATAGGAAAAATGTTAGCAAACTTATCTATCAAAAAAAAAATGTTAGTAAACTCCATAATGAAAAAAAACTATTACATGTTTAGTTTGGAGAAATATCAAAATTTCAGCCAACTTCATTTTATGCGATTGAGAGAACCATCACATGTGCCATCTTGAAAACCTCCCTTTATAGTAATTTTAAAAATCCTAGAATCTGCAGTGAATAAGTTCAGTATAATCCACAGAGATTCTTTTGGCAAGGAAACAATGAATATCAAGTCATCATTTAGCGGTAGAAAGAAAGGGGACAAAAGTGATGTAATGGGATGGGACACATGGACCAGATTCTCACCCACAAGTCCAAGCCAAAAAGTATCCAAGTGGATAGTTTGGTCCATTCCAACACGTCCAATGTCACAGTTACAAAACCCTCAATTTAGATTAGTTCCTAGAGCATTTGCAAGATTTGTTTAATTGCAGGTATTTTCTTATTTGGTCTTGTGGTTGAGAAAATCATTTTTTTTTCAACAAATCCAACAGACTAAAAAAAAATCCTTAATAATAGGAAGAACCCCACCCAATTGATCTGTCTAAAACAAAAAGAAGCCTCAACAATAACCGGTGCCAATATGGGAGTTTCTCCCTCCCAGTTTTGGAAATACAAATTTACTTTACCTTTTACTCAAAAAAGCAATAATCAACAGCATATTGGAACCACAACATAAAGTCTTTGCTCAGGTAGCTATCTTCCCTTCCACCAAGAAAACAAACAAAAAAAACACTATAGTTTTCCAACTTCTAAGGAAGAACCTATAGGGATTTCTTTCTCTCTTTCTTCTAGCTCCAAGAACACTTTTCTTAAATTCTCCTCACCCCCTAAAAAACACACCCAGACTCTTGTCAATTTGAATTTTCTTTTCTTGTGAACAGCTTCATCTATTAAGATGCCATTCATAGTTTTCAAGGCCCCAAGGCGAGGCTAGGCAACAGGGAGGTACCTTGTCTCCTAGTCACTCGCCTAGGCAATGGATTTCTTTTCAAGTAAAAACATATATCCTAGGGTAGTTCCCTAGGTTCCATAACCATATTTCCTTAATGATTATCCATAATTTTCATAAAAAAGTATAAACTTCATGTTAAAGTATAGAAAATCAACATATTCATGAGAAGAAAAAGGAAGGAAAGAAAATTAAAAAAGTATAGGGGCTCCTATTTTTGTTATAGGAAAAGAAGAAAAGAAAAGGTGGCGGAAGAAAATTTTAAGTTCTTCCTTACTTATTGGTTCAGGTTTTGAAGTCTTTGAGGGTTCAATACAGCATTTAGTGTTTATGTTGATTAAACCCTAACAAATAAAAAAAAAATAGTATATAAACACACAAAATGAATATTTTAGTTTATTAATGTCTATTTTATAATTATAATCTCAAAAAATTAAGAATATAAAAGTATTTTATAACACAATATACAAAACTGCTTGGCGATTAGGCAAGGCCAGCCTCCAAGGGTGCCTTGTTGCCTAGGTGTCGCCTTGACAACTATGATGTCACTTTCATCATCCTCTTGATCCTCAAGATCCTCCCCATCCTTCCTGAGTCTCTAACTTCATCCCTTTCAATCTCTTCTCAAATCTCTTTATCTGGTCTCTGTACCTTGCAGATTGAGATGTAAACACCTTGGCAGAAATATGAACACTATTCCTTAGAACAAACTTAGATTCTCTAATGGAAGAAAGAACCAGAAGATTCAATATTTGAAAAATTCACCTCAGTATTCGTTTTTTGCCACACTACTAGATTCATCAACCATTTCAATTGAACAAATACCACTTCAGGCTCTTGGATTATCAACATTTAGGTGCCCATATTCTTGAACTAGAGCATGTCTTTTTCTTCTAACCTTCCTATCATAAATCCTCTTACATTTTCTGCAAGGACCTGCTCCCCACAGTCCTTCCAACTGAGAAAAAAACTTTGGTAATATGGACTAAATTGTGACACTTAGAACTCATAAATCCTTTCATCAAGCTGATATTCCTTTCCTTCATCTTAGGTCATCACACCCTTGATTGATAATCTCCTTGTCCCCAAATCCACCTCTACTCTTCCCACACACATTATGAGATAGACTTTAGCTTGCTATGGCCCTTCTTCAATCCACTGTTGGCACACTTCCCACTGCCCTCATCTAAAAGGTCAACACCATTCCTAATCCAAAGCTCAATGACCTAGTCTCCAAACCCATAGAATCTTCAATAGAAATGTCATGAGAAACTGAGTCAACAACATGAACTGGACTCAAACCATCTTCTAGAACTTCAAGAGCCCAACACCATATCCCACTTCTCTTGTTCAATATTTGAACAAAAATTTTCCAACTTCATTTCCAATATCTCATTTCCCAGCCCTCCAACTCCATAAAAAATGGCACCCCTAGCCTCAGACATAGTCCCCCCCCCCTCCCTGTCATGAGCAAATAAATCTTAACAGAGAGAACAGTAGGAAACAAGAAGGAGAGAGAGAGGGGGGGGGGGGAGAGAAGAGAAGGGAGAAGAGGAGAGAGATTTTGGCAAACGGAACTTAGTTTGGTGGCGCTATATTATAATATCATATATAGGGCGATCATAATTAAAAGGGAAAAGACCCTTGTGCCCCTACTGTGGTTAAAATGCATAAACAGTGATAAAAAAACTATTTTTAAAAAGAACAAATTGACCCTAACTAAGCAGAATAAAAACATAAATGTAAAGTAAACTATTCCAAACACTCCCCCTCAAGTTGGGACATAGATGTCAATCATGCCCAACTTGTCACACAAATTATTATGCCGCACGTGATGAAGGCCCTTGGTGAAGATGTTTGCAAGTTATTCTTTTGAGCTGACATATGGAGTGCACACTTCTCCACTCAAAATTTTTCTCTAATAAAACGCTTGTCCACTTCAATATGTTTTGTTCTATCATAGAGGACTGGGTTAGCAACAATGTTAATAGCAGTTTATTGTCACAATAGAGTGGCAT